CGTTACTAAAAAAAAAAAAAAAAAAAAACTTACATTTACATCACGAACAAAAAAATCCTCCAAACGTTTTTCTACATTAACTTAATAAAAAAGTGAAACGAAATATAATCACTTTGACATTACATACAAAACTGAACTATTTTAATAGCTGAAACAGTAGTATAAGCTGTTTTGGGAGAAGGGGAAAAAAGAGTCGCGCTCGGGTCGGACTCGGGCCAAGAATTCTGATGAGCTGTCGGACCCGGGCTAGGGCCTATATTTGAGGCCCATGCAGGGCTCTACTTTGCAAGTACGTCAACTTATTCTACCAACCCTAACCTTAACTAAGTCTACTAATACTCTAAATGAGAGTTAGTTGGCATGTAGTTGCAAAGTTGCTTTTAGTCAACAGACTAAGGGGACCATCAAAATAAAATGTAATGTAATATAAAAAGAAAAACTATTGCATTATTTTCATTTGAAAGTATTACAACGGAGCTTAAACTAGCTCACAGCAAAATCAACATTAACCTCTCTTAGGAAACACTCAAAAACACTGAACCACTTCTAACCTCTCACAAGATGTAGTAAGATACTGTGCACATCTTAAATAAATAATGTCATGATATGAGATAATCCATTATAAATTAAGTGGGTTTAATATTATTACAATGTATTATAATTGTTGTTATGATTATTTATGAGATGATACAACATATTATAAGGTTTTTTATAATGCATTCATTATAATGCCTTAAGAATACCCTTATAATGTATTATAAATACAGGTTTCATAGAAAGTGTTACCCCAAGCTCTTGGTGCATTGTGCACCACAGTGTTGCGATCCAGACCCACATTAAAAGCAGCAGACAAGGTCCGTCCTTTTTTGAACTGCTTAAGAACCTGTTTACATCATGCCAGCATTTGTTCTGGTGTATGAAAAAAAAAAAGTATTGTACACAAAAGTATTGTACAGAATGCTGTACAACACAGTACACACACATATGATAAAATAAGCATATAAGCTCTCATTTCTTCTCCTGATAATTTAAAGACTAATAATTAACTGTAAATTAACAGTTTGTAAATGATTTGTAAGTACTTCATTAGTCTGTACTTATTATAGTTAACAAAGTTGCTTAAAATACATGAAGTCTATCCCCAAACCTAAACATAACCACTTAAAAAATGAAATGTCATAATGCTGACAATATGAAATATATACAAATACTCATTAGATCACATTGTTAAAATACATCAGTTAGGATTAGAGGTAGAGTTAGGGTACAGAATAAACAGTCTGTTCAGTATAAAAACTGAAAAGGAATGCAATTAATGTCCAATAAATGTTGGTAAAGTGAGTACTATTTATGGTCAATATGTTGTTAATAAAGCATTACATAATTCTTTACATATGAGCTAATTAAACAGCAACACTTTGTTAATTACAGTGATAATGAATGAATTAACTCACTATTTTTATATAGTCTATTAATGTATTAACTATAGTTTATAAACTACTAATGAAGTTATGTGTTATTGTTATTGTATCATTATTATAAAGTGTTACCAATAAAGTCTAATTACACTGTATTTATCACAAACATGCACTGCAGATTATAAACTATATAAACTCATAAATTCACATTAATATAGCAGTTTGTTTTGTTCTTTACACAGGTTATGTGGATGTAATCTCACTGCTCAGTCCTGTGAGAGTTTGTCTTCAGCTCTACGATCCTCAAATTCCCATCTAAATGTGCTGGACCTGAGTAACAATGACCTGCAGGATTCTGGAGTGAAGCTGCTTTCTGAAGGTCTGAAGAGTCCAAACTCTAAGCTGGAGATACTGAGGTTTGAGTTTCAAATACTTGATTAATTATTTTGCAAGTTAATTATTAAAAACACACACTGTTAAGATTTATTCTGTACGCAGTTACTGTGTCCTTCTTGTTCAGATTTTCCATCTGTAATCTCACTGCTCAGTCTTGTGAGAGTTTGTCATCAGTTTTACAATCATCAAACTCCGTCCTGAGAGAGCTGGACCTGAGTAACAATGACCTGCAGGATTCTGGAGTGAAGCTGCTTTCTGATTGTCTGAAGAGTCCAAACTGTCAGCTGGAGATTCTGAGGTAAATGGTTTTACATAAAATAATTAACAAAATGCTACCACAATAAATGGCAAAAAAAAAAATGTTGCTTCTGCTCTCAATGGCATTCCAGAACTAGAGCAAAAACAACATTTGCAGGCATTTTTTCATATTTATACAGATGTCTGTAGATGTGGATTGCACTAAGATTGAAACGTCTGGAAACAGTTACTAAAACTGCTGCATTTTCAAAGATAGCTTCTGACAGCACTGCACAAGCAAGCAGCATAGCATCTAGCAGCTGTGTGCAGGACACCCTTAGCATCTTGGCTAGGGTCCAAAATTAACACGGCTTTGGCAAGTATATGAAAAGAGTGTTACTTGCCAGATGGCTGGTAACTTATTTATACATTCTAACAATGCATGGTTGTGAGAATGTGATATTGGTTAATTTGCATGTAACCAAACCCAACAGTGGTTTAATTTGAAACAATGACAGACTGGTTTTGAGATGAAAGTTAAACTCTGAGTTTTAAGTTTTTAAAAGGTGATAAATTAGACTGTCAATCAAAAACAAAATTACGTCTGAAACCTCGCTAGATAAATCATTCCGGAATCGGGACTTTTATTCAGCTCATTATTTTGAGATAAACACCTTCAATGTTCAATTAACTTCACATGATTGATAGGCAAGATTAATGCTCCTTGGTTACAGTTGCCTCACTGAAAGGAACCAGTTTTGCTGATGACTAATGACCAGGGCCGGATTTACCTCTTTTCGTGACATAGGCAAAACATTTTTGGGCCCCGCTTCCCTATTAATATAATAGACCTAATATTACCACCCAAGCAAACAAAAATATTTCTTAATCAGTGGAAACCGATACGGTGTTTTCTATTGGAATAAGCGCTTGCGTTCAGTCAATAAAAATCGGATAGTTCTTAATTTGTTTGAGAACTGAGAAAGACCATACCATATAGTCGTGGCCACATAACCACCTCCGGGAGTGCATTATTTCTCTAATAATTTTAAC